AAAATGCTACAGAAGATAACTGAATGTCAGTTGACTTGTGATAGCTTGAAGGCTATGGTGTCATTAGCCCAGTAAGCCCAGTAGCACAGTTATTCATCCACTCAGCAAGGCACGGGAGGAAAAGGCTCTCAGGTGCAGTTTTCATACATGAGGCCATTGCCAGGGAGACTGGCTTCTCAAGCAACTGTGCCACCACCACCATAGGACAGGGAGTTGGACCACTATCTAGTCCTCAGTTTGTGGCTGCAGAAGTGAAATCTTGTCAGCACATACAGTGTGTGTCAAGTTTTCCAGAGATCAGCCAGCATCCCAGCATAATCAGTGCTCTGAAGAACTATAGCTGTGCTAGTAACATTCAGTATTCTGAGTCTTCTCTCCCTCCATAGGGATGGAAGCACCCTAAGGTGAGTGTGGGGGCTGCAAAGGGAGGGAGGGAAGAGGCCTGCTTGATAATTTGAGCCCACAGCTATGAATGTCTCTGATCATTAAAAGAGTTGGGGCCTCTATTTTCAGGGCCCTGTATCTACTTCACAGTACTGGACAAGTGCCAACAAATTCTCTCCAACTTCCATCTTCTAGTGCTAGAAGATCGTTAAGTTATCTCTGTCATTCAAGTTGTGCCTGTAAGGTGCAGCTATCTGATGTTATTTATTACAACTATTTTTTTATAGAAGAAAGGAAATTTATACTTTCTAAAGTTATAAGCCTGTACTTTTTTACTGGCACTTTTTAAAATAGTAGTTCTCAGACTAGCCTTTGTCAAGTTTTGAGTGACAGATTGTGTTTGATATGAACAAATACTATAATTGTGTTTGGTTTGGTTTGGTTGGTTTGGTTTTTTGAGACAGGGTCTTGCTATGTAGTTAAGGCTGGCCTTTGACTCACTATGTAGGCCAGGCTGGCCTCGAACTCCTGACAGTTTTCCTGCATCAGCCTCCCAAGTGAGGGGATTATGAGCGTGCATCAACACACCCGATTGTTTTGTTTTAAAATTGGTTCTTGCTCTATTGCCCAGGTTGGCTTCACCCTCTTGAGTAGTTGAGATTATGAGCAGGCACCACTATGCCTGGCTTATAATAGTGTTTGAAAATTGATCATAAGTGGTAATGTACTTTCTGTGTCTGTGTTGTGTGTGTGTGTGTGTGTGTCCCCGCACCTCTGTCTCTGTCTGTGTCTCTCTATCTCTCTCTGTCTCTGTCTTCCTCTTTCCCTCCCTCCTCACTTTGTTTCCCCTTCTCTCCATCCTCCCCTTCTCTTGCGCTGGTGGTTGAACCAGGACCTCACACATGCTAGGCAAGTGCTCTGTCATTGAACTACATCCCGAATGTACCTGGGTCTCTTGTTAGGACATTGTACCTCATAATCAATGTAATGTGTTCATTATTGTTTACCTTGTTTGTGTAGAGGAAAAGGGAAAAAGATGTGTCCTCAGCAGACCTAACCACATGGCCAGTACTTATAAGTCTGCCTTCCTCCACTCACATTCCTTTCATTGTCTTTGTTTAAAACCTGATCTTCTACTCACAGGTGTTGCTGCTCTTTCCCATGGGTTTGCATTCCATGCAACACCCCATATAAAATCATCTGCAGACACTATATAGGTATGCTATAAACACGCCAATGTGTGGTTTGTGGGGAGCGGCAGCTGCTGATTGCAACTTTTTGTTGTTGTTGTGTTGTTGTTGTTGTTTCCGGTACCAGGAATTGAACTCATGACCTTGCACTTGCCAGGCTGGCGCTGTGCTGCTGAGCTAAATCCCCAGCCCCCCTGCAACTGTTTTTTAAGTAATATTTGCAGTGTGATGTTCTTGGAAAGTTGTACAGGTAATTTTGAGAAAATGGCATAACTAGGATTGTTTGACAACATAGAAAATTGGGTGGAAAATGCAAACGATTTCCATTTTTTTTTAACAGTCAGTGATTAGTGTCTGTGACATTGTGATCTAAGAGGAAATGTGTATTGTCTTTGTCTCTGCTTGCTGGCATGGAGCTCCTAAAACCCTTGTGATTTCCTAAGTAACAGAGGTGATAGAGGCATCTTTGGTTATATTTTATCTTAATTCCAGACATGAGAGCTTCTTTCTAAGATTCTTGGAATCTACAGAATGATAAGAGTGTTTTGGTATGCTAAGAGATGCCAGGTAATTGGAGGTCTCTAGAGATCTTCAGGGCAGAAGCAAGGTCAAAAGAAGGATGGTATGACTGAGGAGGTTGTGTGAATTCTATGTCCCTTTTCCCTACCTTGCCCTGTACATCTCTTCCATTTTGTTGCTGCCGAACTGTAATTCTAGAACCTGAGGAGTGTGTTAAAGAAACCCCCCAAATTGTAGCATGAGTGGCCTAGACTAGAGTGTTGTTTGAAATGGGGGCAGTCTTGTGAGTCTCACCCTAACCATATGTACTTAGTTGGAAAATGAATTGATATAGGGGAAACACACATACATTTGGTGTCAGAAGCATTGGGACTAGAAAGAAGACAGAGATGTGTTCTTATGGTAGCGGATACCTTCCCACACCAGCATGAGCATGATTTCCAACCATCAGTGCATAGCGAAAGAACTGCTCTTCTGGTACAGGAAGGCTCTTGAAATGACCAGTACTTCCAGCCTTAACAAGTTGTTGTCATCAGTGCTGGTTTGCAAATGTGTACATCATTCAGTTATGCCAGCCACCCAAAAATGTACTGTGCTTGGTACGTTTGTCTTGGGGTTAGGGAGTTTATTTTTGTTTGTTTTAAATCAAAAATAGTGACTGTTGATGTTTCTGTTATCCTTTCTTTTGACACCTTTGTTTCAGGGTCCCCCTAGAGAAAAGAAAGCTATTGTATTGGATCTTCTCCACAGGCAGGGACTCCATGCTCCACAGTGCCAGCTTCTGAGCTGAGGAATCGTTCCAACACTTACCTTTTCTCATGTTCCTTTCCTTGGGATTCTGCTTCCTATGCATGAACATCTTAAATGCCATCCAGGATAAACTTTAGTATTCATAGAAGAATGTTAGAGAAGGCAGGCACTTGGGTGCTGTCACATCCACAAGTCTTGTTTTTTTTTCCGCTCTTGGTACATACTATCCTCAATAAACTTTTTGTATCTAGGAGAAGATCTTTGTTAGCACACAGCTAACTGAAAATCTCACAAAACATTTAAAGTCAGAAATATGTATGTTCTACTTAAACTTGTCCAACTTTTGTTTTGCTTTGGTAATAGAATCTTACATCAGGTGCTTCAATTCTAAATGAGATAGCAGTAAAGCTTTATGATCCTGTGACCCCTAAACAAAAGCCAAAAAAAAAAAAAAAAATCACATTTCTCTATTCAGTAAAGGATGACATTCACATCTAGTCAAAATAAGAAAATGCTTGTAAAAGTCATTTTACAGTTCAGGCTTTTTTTGAAGTGTATCTCAGACTGTGCTCTGCCCTGCAGTCAGCACAAGGCTAAGCATAGCAAAGCTGTCAGGGCCATGGTCCCTGTACCTTCAGATTCTACTCTAAGCCGGAGACACCGACCATACAGACTGCACTTTGAGCCAGCCCTGGTTCTCCCATCACCTCCTCCTGAGGAAATACAGTCTTTTCTCCCCACCACTTAAAAAGCACATATGCTTTGGGGGATTTTTGTTTGTCTGTCCGTCATTTTTGCATGTCAGCAATCCTTAAACCAAGCCTTAATCATCCTAACTTGGTTTCCATCTGTAGTGTGAAACAAGTGAAAATGGAAGCTTAAAATTGAATGTAAGGGGGCTGGGGATTTAGCTCAGCGGCACAGCGCCTGCCTGGCAAGTGCAAGGTCGTGAGTTCAATTTATGGTGCCAGGAAAAAAAAAAATTGAATGTAAGGCTAATCAGGAAAAATATTCTTCAACGTCACTTCATGCATTCCTCTTTTTAAAAATAGGCTTATTTTCCAGGTGAGAAATACATTTGCTATAAAATGAATCTGCTTGACAATTCTAGAAAAAAATGTTCGGGTTAGATTTGGCAAACTGCCCACATTTCATTACATAATGTATTATCTTGTTCTCTACCAGTTCTAATAATTTATTTTGTTTTATTAAAATAATGTGTCAGTTGATTTCTTAGAACTTTCAGAATAAGATACAATATTATGTTTGTACATAAATTGCTAAACTTAAATTCTTAATTTGGAAATTTCCCTTCGGGTCATTAGTAATATTTATAGGTCTGATTTTTATGAAGTTAGGCTTCAATAAAGTCACTTAAAACTTATTTCTGATGGAAGCCAGGCATAGTGGCACATATCTGTAATGCCAGCACTCTGAGAAGCCGAGGCAGAAAGATTCCAAGTTCAAGCCCACCTTGGGGAATTTAACCTAGTGAGACCTTGTCTCAAAAAATAAAATGGGTGGGGGATGTAGTTCAGGGCAAAGGCCCTGGGTTTATTCCCCAGGATTGAGTGGGGATAGAAGGGATTCACGGTAGGGTAAATGCCTCCAAACAAGTCAGTCTTTCTTTAAAATAAATTTTTGCTCTCAACCATTTAAAAAAAAAAAAAACTAAAGAATGTCAGGAACCTCACATTTCTTTTTCTATGAGTGAAATTGTTTATTTCTGTTTATTTGCTGGGTACCATGTGAATGCATTTAAATAGAAAATACTTAGCTTTAGTCATCAAATTAAGATTATTAACTAAACAAAATACTACACTGAGTAAACTTTAGAGTTCACCCAACAGACATAATCACAAAATAGTTTTCTTTTTGAAGTTGGATGGTGCCGGGTAATATTATTCTTGTTTGATTATGAAATAATTTTTAATAAGGCTTAACAGTGTCCTCTCTGCAACTGGTACAAAACCATATTTTGATTGTTGAGGGACATTTGACTATTCTGAATAATGCTGCTATGAACATGGATGGACAAGTTTTTATGTGTTCATATTTTTTTGTTTGTTTTTCTTGAAATTCCACCTACGAGCAGAAATACCGGGTAATGTAATAATTCAATATGTAATTCCTATGGTGATTATTTTCTTTCCACAGTGCTCCAGCTAAGGCTGCAACAAAGGAGGACAAGAGAACAACTAGTGGACCAGGGCATCATGCCACGTAAGACTGCCACATCACTGTCATCCCTGGGGAGCTATAGCAAGATGGTCATGTCCAAGGAGACCATGTACCCAACTTATCCTCCCTCCAGTCATCATAGTTACCAACTGAATTATCAGGAATGTCTGGCATCACCAATGTCACCCTAAGAAAGTCATGTAGAATACATTGTAAAAACCTGTTGTATGCAGTCTAAAAAGTAGTTTTGAATTTTATGTTATACAAACAACATTGTTAAGACACTAAAAATTCTTACCCAAACTTTACTATTTGTTTTAGTTTTAAAATAATTGAAGTAACCACTCTACTAATGGAGCTGAGATTAGATGTGTAAAATTAACCTGGTAAAATTCACAACCTTGTCCTACTTAAATTTACTTAATTCACATTAATTTCTCTTTGGTGCTATACTATGGTTTATATAATTAAATAAATCTCAGTTGTAAGACTAGTAAGCATTCTATTTATAATTAATAATATCTTTCTGATCCAAGTATAGTTAGTTCCTAAGTATCTCTAGGATTCATTCTTTTCAAGAGAGTTTTGAGTTGATTAATTTTAGAATATTTGTCTGAGTTGTTTCTTTACCTTTAATCATCATCTCTGGAAGATTTTTATATTTTACAGGAGAATGATTATTTTATGTGGGCTATAGGATTATTTATCTGGGTTTTATCCAAAAATTAATTTTTCCAAGAGTTAACTTACTTTGCTTTATACCATTAGAAAGAAATTATAAAATGAATTTATGCTTCCCAGTCTTACAACTCATTAGAAGCTAGCCTATAAATCATGTAATGGTTTATGATAAGTGAGAAATTATTTTTCTCTGCAGTAGGTTTATTTTCCCCAGTACAGCTTTTTTCTGTACTGCTGTTAATGGGGTTCCTAAATATTTTAAATCAAATATTGGAGTAGTTAAAAACAGCTTTGATAATCTGCCTCATTTCCTCGCCACACTGATCTCTGTGAACCAATCATTCAATCAGGATCAAGTTTTGATATTTAGTACACCACTGTTCTTGAGAGCTGGTCTCTACCCAAACCTTGCTGGGCTGGGTTCGTGAGGTTCCCTAGAGTACTTCAGTTATCAGGGCTGAAAATGTTTGCAGGCTGATTGGTCAAGTCTGACAAGCCCAAGGAATTTTAGTCCTACAGTATATCCCATCCACTCACTTATCCATGGTTATACATGCAGGTTGTTATCAGGCAATGGCAGACATACAAAACAGATTTTGCATGATAATAAAAATTCTATAATAGGTCGTATTTTACTATTTACCTTCCTGTTGAGATTCCAGGATATTTAATACACTGGCAGTTTTAGAGCCACTGTGTCTTGAGAGTTAATTACGTTGTATCCTAAAAAGAACATAAACCTCTCAAATACAAAATCCTGGACTTAAATCCCCCTTTGACCACCATCTAACTATATGACCTCGAGAATTCACTCACTATCTTTGACCTTTCATCTAGCCTAGGGCTAACTCTAATCTTGCAAGGTTGTTGTGAAGACTAACTGCAATAAATTATGCCTGTCCCTGACACTGTGGGTTCTGAATAAATGGTACCTCAGATCTCTTAGACGTGGAGTGCTACGTGTCCTTGTGTTCAAGTATAGGTTACTTTTGAGGATATTTAGACTTTTTCCAGTGTCTTATATGGCCATTAATAGCAAATACCTATCAAGGAATCAGACATTTTCTTGGGCAATGAAAATTTGTTCTAGTAGTGGTGAAAAATAATCTGATCTAATGCTTGCATTGCATATATATTCAGTTCCCAGTGTAAATGTTCACTTGTTTTATTCGTGAACTACATAAGTTTAATTCTGTTGTAACATTTAAGGTTTCAAATTTTACACATCTGCTAAAGAAATAAATGGAACTACAGATGTGCACTAAGAGTATTATCAACACAGTTGATAACTCCTTATTTTATACTGTTGAACTCCTTTATTTATACTGTGGAAACAATTCATTTTCTTCTCACAGCTTTGAAGAGCCCAGCGGCATTCCATGAACAGATAAAAAGCTTGGAACGAGCCAGAGTAAGAATTTCACTTTAAATGCTTTGCTTTTCTGCTTTATTCTAAAGTACCTGTGGACAAGTAGCAGTCTTAATTCCTAAATACATTAATAGAGATAATGTAATGTGTCTTCAAGGCACACAGTATAAAGAACATATATTCTGGGGCAGTTTTATCTTAAAGGTTTATAGAAAATACATGACATTTAAATTTTGTTTTTTTAAAACCAGTTACTAGTTTTGTAAAAATAATGGACAAATCATACTTCTTCCCTTTCTTGCTCTCAGGGTACAACAGTTTTTAGAGACATAATGAGAATAATGTTGTCATTTGTTGCCCCATAGAGGGACAGCCACATGATCCTTAGGAGATTCCCCTGCTTGGTCTGTGCTACCTGCACATTTGACTAAGGGGAGGAGATTGAGCTGAGTCAGAGAACATTGTTCCACTTTGCTTTTTGAGATGGCTCCATCGTAGTTGCTCACCACATTGGTGCTTATTATTTTTTTCTAAAAGTACCATTCATGAATGCACATTCATTCTCTTTTGTTTTGAGGGAGGATAATTTCTATCATTCAGGTTGAAAATTTCCCCAGAATAGCCAAGTGTAGTGGCGCATGCCTATAACCCCAGCACTTGGACGACTGAGGCAGGAGGATTGCCACAAGTTCATGGCCAAGCCACCTACCTAGGACCAACCTAAACTACAGAGTGAGACCCTGTCTCAAAAAACAAACGAAATTCCCCAGAATGCAATAATGATTTGTTAGAGTCTTACAATATTTGTTATCTAAGTGGATTTTTTTGACCTAAACTATATTAGATATTTAAATGATGAAATTCTATATTTATTTAAACGCCATCTTCAAAACCATGAGCTTTTCTTTTTATTTTGACATGTTTTAAATAAAAGTCTGTAAAGTGCTTACTTATACTCACATATACTGTCATGTTCCTATAAGATTTTGAAAGTTGCAATTTAAATCATGTATAGGATAAATTTTTCTCAGTTTTAATTTCTAGTCTCCCTGTCAGAGACATGACAAAAGGGGAATATACTTTATTTAAATGGAGTACCCTGAAAAAAATTTAAAACCACAATACTCATAAATAACTATGGTAAGAATTTCTTTACCCTTTTTTTAAGACCGAAAACTTCTTGAAACACAAGATTCGGAGTCGACCAGATCGTTCTGAACTTGTCAGGATGCACATTTTAGAAGGTAAAAGTTTTATTTCTGCTTATTTTTGGTGTTCTAAAGAAAAGAAGTGAGGAGTCCACTATTTCTGATTATTCCTATTTTAATAACTTTTTATCCCACCAGCTGACACCCTTCAAATTGGAGCAACCAGAAGACACAAACTAAAATACTTGGGCTGGGGATATAGCTCAGCAGTACAAGCACATGCCTGACAAGCGCAAGATCCTGAGTTCGATTCCCCAGTACCAAAAAAAAAAAAAAAAAAAAAAACCACTAAACTACTTGGGTTAGATATCTGGGGGAAGCTTTGATTCTCCAAGTAACCAACTGATGGGCTAGCTGTTCCCCACCAGCTGGCACTGTAGGTGCCTCTTTTATACTGTTCTGGAAAGACATTTTTGGCCCAGAGCATTTCCTTACCAGTGAGGGGCATGTGTCCTATTCATTAAATCACAGAGGATGTAATAACAGCAGGTCTGATCATAGATTTTTCAACTACTTGGACTTCATTTATGTCTACCCAGCACAAAAGGCCACACCAAACATCCCCTCTGCCACAGTCCAGCCTGATCTTATCGTTATGGTAGACACCCCTACCAGTGAGGGTGACCTCACATCATTTGGGAGGCTGGGAGGAACAGTTCCCATTCCATTCTTACTAAACACATGGCTCAGGTCTGGATGTTCTTCTCTGGAAAGACAAAGCATTCTTCATCTCCATTAAAAACTTCCAAAGTTACATTTTCTTTCATTGTTTTGCTTCTGTAATTTATTGAGCAAGACTAGGAAATTGATCCTGTGATAGTTGTGTGTTAAGCCTTGAGATGATTCAGGAAGAATTTGGAAAATTATTAAACATTTAGAGACAGTTGTCAGGTAGAAGGAAAATCTGCTCTCTCTGGGCCTAATAATAGAATTAGGATTAGGATTAATATTGCAACTAGGCTGATTTTATAGAAAATTAGATTGTACTTTAACATGAGGAATATCATCCTAAAGGCCAAATATGTCTAAAAGTGAAATGTTCAGGAGGTGACAGAATTACTGTTATTAGAGATGCTCATACATTGGCCAGCATGCTGCACACCAACACCCAACAGTGAACAAGACAGGTGGCTGCCTGCCTCCTGGAACTTGTGCTCTAGTGGCAGACAGATAATGAGTGTGCAAAACCAATGAATTACTGACATTGAGAAGCTCTCTGGGGGGAGGAGGGAAGTAAACAGGCCAGTGTAATACAGAAAAAGCATAGGCTAACACCACAATAAGGTGTGGTATAAAGAAGTTTCAAGTACCAAGTTTGTTGGTCTGTGACCCTAAGTAGGGGTCTCCTCTGACCTGAAGAACTATGCTTGTGTGCCCATCCTTCTCACTCGAGGGTCTGACAGTAAAAGAGGTATGTGCCTTTCTCCACTTTAGTTTTGTTCTTAGATGTCCACTGAACTAGAAAAGCTTTTTCAGAGTTCCAGTGTTAGGGTGGAGCAACTGCCAGCTATCAGGAGTAAGTGATTCTTGAAAGAAGCAGTTCACGAGTAAGTAACACAGTAAATGACTCCTTTTATAGCAAAAATAAGGATGTTTATGTAATCACAGTGCCAGCTATTTTAACTTAGCTTCTAACAGGCTGTGTTAATATAATTAAAATCAAGGTAATTATATTTAGCTATCAAAGGAATTATATTTGCTTTTTTTTTTTTTTAAGAAATGAGTAACCAACATTTAAGGATCTAACAGTATATATGAATGAACTGTAAGTAATATTTTTAGGACATTTGTTCTGTAGTTGCAATTTTTGAAATAAGAATGTGTCACCTTTAATTTTTGAAATATCCTAAAATCATTCCATCTGTATGTTAACATTAACCCAGTTTGGCAAGCAGGAGTCTCAATTATTTTCTGAGGTTAAACAGTCAAAATTCAGCTTCAGCCTCATGGAGGTGAGGAGGTATTAAGACCAGGAACAGAAACATACCAGCATGTCAAGCTCTACTTCCCTTTTTTTTTTTTTTTTTTTTGGTACCGGGAATTGAACTCACTACCTCACACTTGCCAGGCAGGCACTGTGCCTCTGAGCTATATCTCTAGTCCCTAAGCTCTACTTCTTTACTTTGGAAATATTTTCTTTCCAAACGTGCTGTTATAACTTGGGTGTTATTAATGGGAGAAAAACAGAAGACTGTCCTAACACAAACATTGGAAAATTAACGTGAGGTGATCATCTGATTTAATTTTCCCCCTCATATCGTATATCGTCTTCCTCTATAGTTGCGTGTTTTATCTTACAAGATTAGAGCCGCAGTTGGTTGTATAGAAAAATTATACAAATGAGATGGGCTCACACTTTAACTTAGAGAAATGCACATTTATTGGCCAGTATTCCAGCCCAGGGGTCAGGCCTTCATTTGAGGGAAGACTTTCATGGATGGAGTTCACATCACTTGTTCTACATAGAGCACGGCCATTGTACGTCATCAACAACTTCCATTTATGGTACAATAAAAATTTACGGGATGCTTGGAAAAGTAGTTGGAATTGAACATCTTGGATTTTGCAAGCTTTCTCCCAAATCTTTTATAGTTGTTAATTGCCTGAACTACATTGACCCTGATTTTTTAATGATTCACCTTTATTACATCTTTCAAAGTTTCCAAGGAACAATAATTTTATTTTTTTAATTTAGCATTTTCTCATAACATTTAGCTAAATTATATATTGACTATAGCACTCACAATGGATGTAAACTACCTTGTAGACAATTGACTTTTGGCAAGCATACATCTCCTCTGGTGGAGAGAGAAGTTGCATATATGTACTGGAGAGTAGCTTAGCAACCTTGAGCTTGCAGTGAGCCTTGAACTCCAACCAGCACTTTCTAACTGAAGAACGCAGCACATCACTTAATCCTGAGACTGCTTAGGGGGAATTTCATTAAAGACTTTCTGTATAATTTATGAAACAAGTAACTTTCAACTGGAGTTTGGGGTTGACACTACATCATTATTTTTAAACAAATGTAAATATTATTTATAAATAACAATAGAGAAAAAATGTTAGAGTTACCAAAAACACAAATAATTGACAGAGTAAAGCAAATGAATGTTAAGAGATTATAGTAGTTTTCATCTGTTGTAGCAACATTTTTAAATAGATGAGTTGATACATCTATAAAACATTAATTTCTATGTAATTGGATATTCCTAATAGACATAAAGCTATGTATTCAGAAATAAACCCAAATTCTTAATTATAATGACTGACCCTGAGACACACAGGGATCAATCTAAGAATACCATAGATTATAGCTCTTCCTACTTGACCCATGCAAAGAAGCTTATATCCTAAGAGGTAGTGCCTCCCTTTCTAGGAATTGACTGTCCATTGAAGGTAAACATAGAACTGTAAACTTCTTAAGTCACAGGCCACTTCCGTCTTGTTCATCTTATGTATCCACAATATCTAATAATAGTAACGGAATTTGATCCTCCTACTATAAGTAAATGATAGCACTATGCCATTTTGAGCTTAAATCATGTTAATACAAGTCTGTAGGCCCCCATAATGTAGAGACAATGCTATCCAGAAATAAAAAGTGCAAAAATGTATACTGGAGCATTCTTAAGCATTTTCTCTTTTAATAAAGATGTTCAGAACATAAATATGTTTAAACCAATTGAATTCAGTTAGCTAAAACAACATTTATAAAATACAAATGATAATTCAAGTAATGATTAAAACTATGCCTTCTCTTTTAGAAACATTTGCAGAGCCTTCTCTGCAAGCTACACAGATGAAGCTGAAACGAGCTCGACTGGCTGATGATCTGAATGAAAAGATTGCTCAAAGACCAGGTCCTATGGAGCTGGTGGAGAAGAATATCCTTCCTGTGGACTCCAGTGTAAAGGAAGCGATTATAGGCAAGAGTAAAAATTGACACTCTTCTGGGAGAAAGAAACTTAGATAATTTTATATAAAATTAATTAAAAGGCCAACACCAGTCATGGATATTGTTTTCCAGGTTAATTAAAGTTGATTAACACAGTAATTGGCACTGTTATTTTATTATGTATTAGAAGATCAGCATCTGCTACCGATTTAACAGATTCCCATTTTATGTCTGAGGTTTAAGTTTGTTGTATTGATTTCATTATCACATTTTCTAGGTAAAAGTACTATATTGTGCTGTTGAGTTTCTGTTTAATATTTTTACAAACTTTTCATCTTTTCTATTTTCTTCTAGAAAGATAAATAGTTTATTCAGCATTAGTACAGGAAAGGGGTTAATAGATGGATATAAACATATTCTTTAAGAAAGGTAGTATGTGTCCATCTCATGCTGGTCTCATACTTAGTTACTGATGAGTATCTCTTTTTTTTTTTTCTCCTGCCCCTTGGTGCTAGAAATTGAACCATGGGCCTATGCATGCGAAGCACACACTCTATACCCTAATCTACACCTACAGCCCACTCTTTCTCTTTATTTCTCCCATAAGTTTTACCAGAGAAAAAATGCTACTGCTTATTCAGCAAGCAGTTTTGAAAAGTTATTCTTTATTTTCTATTACTCTTGGGGACTTCATATTTTGCTTTGAAGTTTAAACCTTAGGCGGTTTGTATCCACAAATCCTAAATCATGCAATCAACTGTAATTCCTTTCAGTTATGGTAATTGCCCCTGTGAAGGTAAGATGTGAATCCAGCTGGGCTTGTTACTTGAATTGGGAACTTACCAACGGATAGCCAGTGATGTGTTATCCTAGTGTTATCCTATCCATGTGTTATCCTCATGTTTTTTAACGCTAGGCTTCTGGGTGTGTCCAAGCAGAGTTCCCATGTTGGCTGTAGCCAATTTGTCTCTTAAATCTTAATCTGCTGGGCATGGTGGCACATGCCTGTAATCCCAGCACTTGAGAGGCTAAGGCAGGAGGAGCACTGTGAGTTCAAGGCCAGCCTGAACTAGACAGTGAGACCTTGTCTCGCCAAAAAAAAAAAGAAAGAAAGGTCTTAATCTAATCTGTTGGATAAGTTTTCCTCCTTCTGTTGTCCTCTAGCATGTCCCGCATTTTGGATTTTACTGATTACATTTGCTTTCCAGGTATTGCTAAAATTGTAACCATCTCTTATACTTTCTGCAACTACCAGTTAGATCCACAGGCTTGATATGATCCCCACTTAGTGATAGGTACTGAATGGTCTGTGCTTCTATTGGAAAGTATACTGTATTGAATTTTAATTTAATGTAATACATGTAGATATTAATAAAGAAAAATAAGATACTCTTTTTACATCAATAAAAAATAAAACAGAATTTCATACCAAAATAATTAGAAAATAGCAATAATTATTACACAGTGTATAATAATCATGAAAGCATGGGCCAAATGTCACTCAGAATATAAGTCATAGACAAAAAAGAGTCTCTTACAAAAAATTCTTATGGGGAGCAATGTTTCTTCTTTTTCATATTGTTTGGTATTCCAAGGCCAGCATAAATTAATAGTCATTTCTTTCTCCAGGCGTTCGGAAGGAGGACTATCCCCATACTCAGGGCGATTTCTCATTTGATGAAGACAGCAGTGACGCTTTGTCTCCAGACCAGCCTGCAAGCCAGGAGTCTCAGGGGTCAGTGGCATCCCCAAGTGAGCCAAAAGTTAGTGAATCGCCATCTCCTGTGACAACAAACACTCCAGCCCAGGTATTTTCTTTCTGGTTTTGATCCCTAAATAGAAAAGCTGCCCTTTCTTATATACTGTATCAGGCAATACATTTTCAGCAGGAAAAATATCCGAAAGTGCCAAAAAATAGGGTTTTTTTAACCTGTAATCCACTTTTATTTTTTTTGGTTTTTTTTTTTTTTGGTTTTTCTCCGGTACCGGGAACCGAACTCACGACCTTGCGCTTGCCAGGCAGGCGCTTTGCCACTGAGCTAAATCCCCA